GCCTTTCTTCCCCCTTGCTCCTGGCAGCCCCCTGCAGATCTCTGCTCCCGGGGACTGTTTGAACCTCTTGAGCAGTTTGGAAATCAGTTCGCGCAGTTTCCAAATCAATCCTGTTTTCCAATTTACGCCACCTAGGGGTTTTCTTTCTCTCGTTTTAATTTGGCCGGATTCATTTCTCTAGCAATCTGTTCAGACACAAAACAAAAGCCTTAAGGGACCATTATACAGTAGGTTTCTCAGGGGAAGGATTGCAGCCACGCTGAGCATATAAGTAAGTACAGCACCATTCAGACAAGATCTAGCTTCGCATACCATCCAGGAGGCGGCATCCTTTACAGGGAACTGTCAGGACTATAGTTTGGATGGGAGGGAAGATGACCTTGCTTTACCACAGGGGTGAGGAACCTTTTTTGGGTCACAGGACACAGACCTACAGAAAAAATCCATAGGGACTGCAGGCAAAAATCCTCCCTGACTTGGCACCTGACTAAGAACGAGAAAAACGCTCCCACATTAGGGATGTTCAATTTTGAGTAACTGACTATAGCCGGTCCCTGAGTTGCGAACCGTTGACTTACGACCGTTCACAGTTACGACCAAAATGCCGTAAATAGCGGACCCTGAGTTACGAACGCAATCCGCGCTTACGAACAGTGCGGTCGTGTGTAACTCAATGGGGTCCAACTTATGAACAAACCGAGTTACGACCAATTGCTTGGTCCGTAACCAGTTCGTAAGTCGGAGACAGGCTGTAATCGAATAGTCGATGCAATTTACTGTTGCTACACTTCAAATCTGAAAGTGCTGCTGGGAGCATGGGGTCAGCGGGGCAATCCCCTGCTGGCCTCATGTTTTTCACGGCATTTCAAAGCAGCAGCGCTGCGCATAGCCCAGGATCAGTGGGGGGCTCGCCTGCTGACCCCAGGCTCCATGTGGCGCGGCCACTTTGAAACACCGTGGGGAACCCACGTCAGACTCCTCACGGCATTTCAAAGTGGCAATGCCATACAGAGCCCAGAGTTAGCTGGGGAGTCCTCAGCTGATCCCGGGCTCCACATGGTGCTACCACTTTGAAACGCTGCATGCAGCCTGGGGACATTCCAGCTGGCCCCAGGCTGCACACAGTGTTTCAAAGCTGCAGTGCTGCTGCTTTGAAGTACCCTCTCTTTTCCTCCCCCTGCTACTGCCTCTTTCTGATAGAGGCACCAAGGACAGGGGAGTGACTAGTTGTCTCGACTATCTGATACGCATTTGCTTATCGGATAGTAGACTAGTTGTTCACATCCATACCCCAATTTCTTTCTCACACCAGAGTCCAGCAGGGCCCAGCATAGTAGATTTTGTGTGCTCCAGCCCTGTGGGGCAGCAGGGGGCTGGAATGCCAGCACAGGCCCCCCAATGCAGGGGGTTGGGCTGACACTCGGAGGCTGGATCCAGGCAAGCTGGGGGCTGGATCCAGGCAAGCCAGGAGCCACATCCGGCCCCGGAGGACTGAGGTTCCCTACTCCAATTTTACACCTATGACCTCAAGCATCTGGGATGCGTGAAAGTGGATTATGCTGTTGGTTGTCTTCTACATTGGTTTAATCACAAATTAGTTACCGTGAGAACTAATCCACCAAAACCACACTTGAAAAGATACCATGTAGGTGGTTTTGTTGTTGTTTTTGTAAAAGAATGCTGGGGTTTGTCACAGTCTGATTCAGATTTTATGACTCTTGGAGTTGGAATCCAGCAGAAAGGAAAACAAAATGCAAAGAAGGAATGCCTTTGAATCTATGTTTGCAAGAAAGGCTAACAGTCCCAACTGGTAGGCCTACTTCAAACAATTATTTTGCAAACTACATTAACAAAGAAATGAAAGAACACTTCTGGTTCAGGATTAGCAGCGAAGTGTGTCAACTATAATTCATTCTTTTAAGGATGAAACCCTCTGCCACTTCTAAACCCCAAAGGATGAGTGTGTGTGGCTTTCAAAAAACAGAAACTAAATCTTTCCTTGCAAATGTAGGCTTGGGTTTTCCATTTCCCTTTCCTTAACTGAATCTAATTTAGTTTTAAATGATAGGTGCTGTGCCGGGCTTTTGTTTCCCTTTTTTTAAAATATCTGGGACATATGTTTTAGGGTCATTGCTAAACATCGATACTGGGCCTATTCACTTCACTTTCCAAAGCAACTCACACAGAAGAAAGATGGAAACAGACTGGAAACATTTCTGCTGTCCAGCAAAGCATATTTTCTAATAAACCAACCAAAGTCCCAGATATTTTAAAACATTCTATTGTGATTAGTGGGCAGGAATGGGGTCCTTAGCCTCTGTTAGTCAGAATCTGGGAATGAATGATAAGGGCATGGGCGGCCTGTGGCTATAGGCGGACTTGGCCGCCACCTTGGACGCTGCCGCCCGGGGTGCCCGATGATGACGTCAGACTATTGACGGCCCTGCAGGCAGGGGCGCCGATCATGCGTTCTGCCTGGGGCGCCAGCTGCTGCAGCCGGCCTCGAGCCACTCCTGATAAAGGGATGGATCACTGTTTATTCCCTTTGGGGCATCTGGCATTGGCAACTGTCAGCAGACAGGATACTGGGCTAGATGGACTTTTGGTCTGACCCAGTATGGCTGTTCTTATGTCTAATGATTATCTGTATTCTTATATTTGAGCTGAGACTATGAAATGAGTAAGTGGGAGAAAGCATCTCAGGGAATCATGCTCTCTAAATACAAGTAACTGTTCCCTAAGCCATAATAATTTTTTTCCATGTATGTTATCCATCTTTCTTCATAGTTTTTTTTTCCCTAAAGACTCCTGCTTCTTTTGTACTCTGTAGGAATTTTGCTATTGGCTTAATAAAAGATCAGATCCTAAATGACAACCTAAAAATTCTCCATAGTCCTATATTTTTCAGTAAAGAGCCTCTTCAGATGTCTCAGAAACAGACGAGATCAAAGTCCATTACTAAACTTTTAGTCTACACTACAAGTTTTTGCGTCAGAGAGTATGCTAATGACAGACTCATTAGCATGAGTCATGATGTCATTAGCATATTTTGTGCCAATGCTTTTTGCACAAGGGGTTTTTGCGTAAAAAGAAGTAGTGTAGCCATTTCCATTTTGTTCAAAAAAACCCCTTATTCCTCCGGGAGAGGCATAAGGATCTTGTGCAAAAGGGGGGTTTTGTGCAAAACGGAAGTGCAAAAAGCATCGGCACAAATTATACTAGTGACACTGCAACTCATGCTAATGAGTCAGTCATTAGCATAATCTCTGCTGCAAAACCTTGTAGTGTGGACATAGCAGTAGTGTCCACATTGCACGTAGTTCATGGCAGACTAGTATGAATGGGTATGTCTACACTACCCCGCTAGTTCGAACTAGCGGGGTAATGTAGGCATACCGCACTTGCAAATGAAGCCCGGGATTTGAATTTCCCGGGCTTCATTTGCATAAGCGGGGAGCCACCATTTTTAAAACCCC